AAATACGCCTAATTGTTTGTACATTGTATTATTTTGTGTGTTCTTTGTTGTTTAATAATACTAAATAATTTAAAAAAAAAAGAAAAAAGAAAAAAGATGACCAAACTTGATCTGAAGGTTTTGACGCCCCCTGCTGGTGACTTGGTAAAAGTGAAGTGCGCGTTGACGTCACGTCACGTGACGCAGTCTCCCAGGCAGCGGCTGAGACCATTTGGCGAAGATGGCGGATTCGCTGTCGACAGGTCCAGGAGAGGAGAAAGAAAAGGAGAARGTGGACAAGGAGAGGGACAGGAAGACCGTCAGAACGGACAAGAACAAAGACGATGACGGAGTCACCGAGTCGCTGCGGTTCAATGGCAAAAAGAGCGACGCTAGAGGCCAAAACCTGAACCTGTCCGGTGAGAGAACATCCTGATTTTGACAGGACTACTTACTAGGCTGGTCACTGAAGTATTTTTATAAACAAAAACGTTAAAGCATATTGTTATAGCACGCATTTGACATTTGCTAAACCTGTGCAGCTCCGTTTGCTCTGTCACAGCCTGGTGAAATTATAATAAACACTAATCTCCACCAAAACAACGACAGAGGAAGGCCTTAAGCATCCTGGTTATAATATTTAGATGGATTACTTGCTGTCACTTGGTACCAGAGTTGACTGAAATCATGCAAGAGACCTCATAAGCTAGCTTGTTTATTTACTTAATAATTCATTTTTGTTAAAATAGGCGTGATTTTGGCGCATGCGCACTATGTACTATTTAGCTGTGCATGACACATTGTAGGCTTGTGATGGAGATACGTTTCAGGAGTAATTTGTGACAARAGTGTGGCAGAAAAGTTCAAAGCAAAGGTTTATAAGAGAATAGTAACTGTGTTGCTTGGTYTGGAGACTGTGACACTAAAAAGAAACCTCTAACCAGGTGATGGTGAAGTTCAAGGCAGGGTTTAAGGTAGATACTATTCTTAGCTGTTGATTTTTTTTTTTAATGCTGATTCAAATGTTATAGCTTTGTGTGTGTGTGTTTTATGTCAGACTTATCACTGGCCAGATTTATAACCACTGAGCTCACCAGAGGCTACTTTCTGGAACACAACGAGGCCAAATACACAGAGCGCAGAGAGAGGGTGTACACCTGCCTCCGCATCCCCAAGGAGTTGGAAAAGGTTAGCATCCATTGAACCAGGTGTAGAAGAACTTAAACTATTCTTACTTCTTGTTTGAATGCTGATTTTCATTCCCTCGCTGTCCAAACGCAGTTGATGACTTTCGGCTTCTTCCTGTGTCTGGATACCTTCCTCTATGTGTTCACGCTCTTACCCTTGAGAGTAATTCTGGCTCTTTTACGGCTCATCACCGTGCCATGCTGCGGCCTCAGGTATTTTTTAGGCAGACATGTCCATGTCATCTCACAGTGTTGGCTGACATCTTTATAAATAAATTAAAAAAACAATTAGTCACTTTATATATATTATGTTTTATTTGTAGTTAGTTGCAGCTCAGCTACATAGTGACTATAATTCACACTTATTGAATGTTTTTATTGGCATTGTTTATGCCTGAAAACGTAACTATGTTTTTAACCTCTAGGGGGCAGCAGAGTTCTCTATGAACACTTTGAACCTAATCAAACTGTAGTAGTAAGTGGCTCTGCTGTTGATTTGCTCCTGGTAATTTGTTCTTTATCTGTAATTTATGGGGTGGTTTAGGGGCTCCCGATTGCTCCAGCCAGCCCAGGTGTGTGATGTGCTGAAGGGCTTCATTATGGTGCTGTGTTACTCCATGATGAGCTACGTGGATTACTCCATGATGTACCACCTCATCCGGGGACAGTCTGTCATCAAACTCTACATCATCTACAACATGCTGGAGGTACTTCCTGCGTTTTTATAATCTCCTGTCAGCTGCAGACCCAGTCATCGTCTCACGCCTCTGTCCTTCTCCATGTGGCTGTGACGTCAGGTGGCAGATCGTCTGTTTTCGGCGTTTGGCCAAGACATTTTGGACGCCCTGTACTGGACTGCGACAGAACCCAAGGAGAAGAAGAGAGCACACATTGGTGTGATCCCTCACTTCCTCATGGCTGTGCTCTATGTCTGTATCCTCATCAAGAGACTTGTAGATCTGTGATATGAGCTGATTGGACAGTAAAGAAGGGGAAAAAAGCACAAATACATTCAGTCTATGTATCTGTTGTTAATGCGGCGTTTTAATATATGTCATTAAAACACTGGCCATTAAGTGCTTAACTTAATGTTGTAGCTGCTATAAAACAGTTAATAGGGGGAATTAATAAAAATAACCGATT